CATTATCATTATCATCATCATCATCATCAGTATCATCATCATCATCATCATCATCAGTATCATCATCATCATCATCATCATCATCATTATCATCATCATCATTATCATCACCATCATTATAATGATCATATTCATTATAATCATCATCATCATCATTATAATCGTCAGCATCATTTTAATCATCATCATCATTATCATCATCATTTTAATCATCATCATCATCATCATCATCATCATCATTATTTCAATCATTATCGTCATCATTATAAGCATCGTCATCATTATAATCATCATCATTATTATAATCATCATCATTATTATAATCATGATCATCATTATAATCATCATCATCAATATAATCATCATTTCATTCTTGCCAGTCTAGTGTGTCCCAATATTTCCTTAACCACATCATTTTATTGCTCTTAATCCTTTTTTGCTTCTCTTCTTGAATCTTGCATTTCTGTTGCGTTTAAATCGGTCAAATCATTTTTTATGCAACTCTCTTCTTCTTTCATCAATTGACATTCTAACATTAATCTATTTCGTTGCTCTACTGGTCAGCATCTGACCCAATCCAATCCTTAAGGTTATTTTATTCTTATTATTCTTTTTATTTGCACCCTACTGTATCAAATTAGTGTTATAATATGTGAAATTTTGTAGACTTTTTCGCATATATTTGGTTGCCAAAAAAAGATGATCCCACTATAAATATCTAGTTTTATAATATCCAGCTTACTTTAAAACCTACCTTATATTATATGAGAGGCAAGTACATTCGGATTTGACTGATAACTGTGGAAGATTCAAGATGACTCATTATGTGACCATATATTTTTTAGGTCTATGTCATTTTGACTTAATTCTTCTACTAGAATATCAACAAAACTTCTCCAATAATTCAGCAAAAGTCTTTATATATAAGACTATATAAATGTGTATAAATTCCAAGCCTAAGTCTCGAAATCTTGTTGATGACTTTACGCACAAAAAGAAAGAAAATCTATTGGGTATTGATAGAATCGAATCATTTAATCATTTAATTGCGCTGAGAAAGAGTGATAGAATTACTTTTTCTAAAGAGTATGCAAATTAAACCCATTTTATATATGTAGAACATAAGTCGAACTCCTATCCCTAAGTGGAACTATGTGCATTTAATATATGTGTATTTGAATTATAAAAATTGAGCAATTCTCGAGTTTAACATACGTTCACTTGGGAGCTACTAGAAAAATTAATTCTAATTTATTGATAGTATAGCCGCAGAGCTTATTAAAGGCTCACCTCATCGAAACCAGTTTGGAGAAAGGTAAATTCAGCAAATACAAATTGAACCCACTAAAATTAAACATATTCTAAAACAATTATACACTCTTCGCAAAAATGCGCTCTCCGTCCGCTTTCGATCACTCTTCACACTGCTCGTTCGCGCTCTCTTATGCGGTTGTGCCTATGACTTGTCTATATTCTGTAATTTTCTGATTATTTAATTTCATTAGTTACATTTTTTTTGAAATAAAGTCAGACGTTTGAAATCACAGCAGAGCTAGTCGACACAATGTTTTAGCTCTGAAAAGCACATCGCGAAGATACACTGCGGCAACAACACAACAAGAACAACAACGTCACTATTAAAAATATAAATTTTGTTTGTCATTTTAATAAAATACTCGCACTTAAACAACAATAATAAAAATACAATATATTGGGCCGCACTAGCTCGTGCGCCGAAGAGATTCTTCAATAGAATGAATCTAAGCTAAATAAAGAAAAACATCTACACGTCCCTACATACGCGGTGCATGGGACTTTTTGTTGTGCCTCAAATTGATGTGAAAGATTATTATTATTAACAAAAATTAACAAAAAAACATATTCGAATCGGGGATGTGTGCTTCTATCTGTAAGCATAGGCCGGCGAATGGTTTGATATTTAGCCATAGCAGGCTGTGTGCATTAGAAAATTTTGACGTTTGTTTGTGATGGTGAAGTGAATTTCTTCTGCATGTAAATTTTCTTGTGTTGAAGTTGAGTTTTGAACGACGTTGCAACTGAGCTTAAAAAAAATATTTTTTTTTTCGAAGAATTGTGTCGATCGTTCGATCTAGCGAATGAATAATAAAACTAGTCAAGTTTCTAGCTTTAAAATCAAATAGATGCAAACTAAACAAAATCACTTAATTAAGGTAAAAACTAATTGCTCGAGCGAAGTTTTATAAAGTGTACACCGATGTCGAGACACGGTCGCGGCATGAAACAGAAACTGTGCCGTCGAGCGCAGCCGTTAGTGGATGAAGACTCGGGTAAGATAAACTCACTGCTTCAAATCATTAGCGAATTTTCTTTCGGTTTGTTGCGGTTGTACGCCATTTGAAAATATAGCCTCAGGATAGTAGCAGTTAGGATCTATTAAAGGAAGGAACTAAATAAAATCGTTTCAAAAAGTTAATCACTTTATAGAGATAATAAATTATACGCAGCATATATTAAAGACTCAATCAATACCACATAATGATTTCTTAGTGGATAGCTTATTCTTTTGTCTCCTTACAAATCAAATCTCCTAAAGAAATCATATCATTGGCATTCATTTGTATACACTTTCTTACGGGTAACTGTTATATGAAACGGTAAAAATAATTTATCGTATTAAAAACAAAAAGGTCAACTGATGTGCTCCTTTAAAGTTGTTTATCCGTAACTCTCCAGTTCCACTCTTTCGAAAATGATATGTTCAAAAATCAAATTTAAATAATTATTTTGAAGATTAAAGCTATTTTAAAGATATGATATCCAAATTTAAATATTTATTTATTGTATCAAAAAAAAAGGTCAACTGATGAGTTCCTTTAAAATTGTTTATCCGTAACTCTCCAGTTCCAATCTTTCGAAAGTTATATATTTAAAAATAAAATTAAATAATTATTTCAAAGATTAAAGATATTTTAAAGATATGATATCCAAATTTAAATATTTATTTATCGCATCAAAAACAAAAAGGTCAACTGATAAGTTCGTTTGAAATTGTTTATCCGTAACTCTCCAGTTCCAATCTTTCGAAAGTTATATATTTAAAAATAAAATTAAATAATTATTTTAAAGATTAAAGATATTTTAAAGATATGATATCTAAATTTAAATATTTATTTATCGTATCAAAAACAAAAAGGTCAACTGATAAGTTCGTTTGAAATTGTTTATCCGTAACTCTCCAGTTCCAATTTTTCGAAAGTTATATATTTAAAAATAAAATTAAATAATTATTTTAAAGATTAAAGATATTTTAAAGATATGATATCCAAATTTAAATTTGAATAAAATTAAATAATTATTTTGATGATTAAAGATATTTTAAAGATATGATATCCAAATTTAAATATTTATTTATCGCATCAAAAACAAAAAGGTCAACTGATAAGTTCGTTTGAAATTGTTTATCCGTAACTCTCCAGTTCCAATCTTTGAAAGTTATATATTTAAAAATAAAATTAAATAATTATTTTAAAGATTAAAGATATTTTAAAGATATGATATCCAAATTTAAATATTTATTTATCGTATCAAAAAAAAAAAGATCAATTCATGAACTCCTTTAAAATTGTTTATCCGTAACTCTCCTGTTCCACTCTTTCGAAAGTGATATGTTTAAAAATCAAATTTAAATAATTATTTTAAAAATTAATAAAAAAAATCAATTAAAGTCATTTAAAGTTGTTTATCCAAATCTCTCCAATTACGTCCTCTCAGAACTGTTACGTTAAAAATGTAAATGAAAATGTTAATTGTATCACATTAAGAAAAAACTCAAACTGAGGTCTTTTGAAATTGTTTATCCAAATCACTCCACTTACACCCTCTCAGAAGTGTTATGTTCAAAATTTTAATAAAAATATTTACTTTATCATATTAGCAATAGAAGTAAACTGCAGTTTTCCGAGTGTCTTTGTTTGTATCTCTTCAACTACACTCTTTCAAAAGTAATATGTTAAAAACTAAAGTTTAAATATCTTATTTTATTTGATTTTTTTTATCGTATTAAGATTAAAATTGATTATCCGCATCTCTCCAATTCCACTGTTTCACCAGTGATATCTTGAAAAATTAAATTTAAATATAGATTTTATGAATTTAAAAAAAAGCCAAATGTCTTATGTTGAGGTTTTTCCGAGTTGGTGCAACTGAGCACTTTTACTCATCCTCAGCTGGGGAGTTTCTACAAGCTATATTTTCCTCACAAGCTTTGCTGATTATTCGATGCCAGATCTAAGATCTGCATACCTCCCCGTACGGCTAGTGACTGCTCTGAGATTATATAGATTTTTTGACCAAGTCTATTCTGAGATCTCTTAGCATGTCATTCGTGCAGATGTACCAAGAGAGCCTGACTTTGAGCAACTTGTAGCTTCTGGATAGTAGAGTTGGCAGCTTTGCTATACGCGACACGTCCTTAGAGAAATGCCGGTTTATTTATTTAGCTATAGATCAAGTTTCTGTACTTACCGCTAGGGTTATTGTGTTTGAAAAGTAGTTATAAACACTATAGTGTTTTCGCACAATTACTTCTTTTGTCTTGTATGTTGTTAGCCAAATGTGAACTCCTTCAAAGTTGTTTATCCGCATCTCTCCAATTACTCCTTTTCAAAAGTGATATGTTAAACATTGAAATGTAAATATTTATTTTATTATATAAAGAAAATATTCGAACTGCAGTGTTTTAAAATTGATTATCCGAATATTTTCAACTACACGTTCTTAAAAGTGATGTGTTAAAAACTTAAATTTATACATTTTATATTATTTTGTTGTGTTATATTTTATCTTATTTTTATTTTATTGTATTTTATTTATCGTATAAAGAATAAATGTTAACTGGAGTCCAATTACACCCTTTAAGAAGTGATATGTCAAAAATTTATGTTTAAATATTTATTTTATGAACGCAAGAATTAATTAAAGATTTTCTTAAAATAATGTTTTTTTTCTAATTTTTTCAGACACTGAAAATCATATGATGCACGGCGAGACTTTAAGTAACGTAAATCCTTCCATGCATAGTCCAGATAGTCAAGCACTAAGTCCAATTTTGAGTTTAAGTGGTAATAGCAATAGTAACCAAACAAGTGCAAACATAAGTAATGGAGCTGGTGGCAGTGGTAATAACAACAATATCAGCAGTTCCGGAACCGGAAACAGCTGCAATAGTCACACTTTCATGCAAAACAGCAACAACGCCAACAACAATTCGCCTCCTTCAACGGTTTGTGCAATATGTGGTGATCGCGCCACGGGTAAACATTATGGCGCTTCCAGCTGTGACGGTTGTAAGGGGTTCTTTCGTCGCAGTGTGAGAAAAAACCACCAGTACACTTGTCGGTATGTTAAATAAATATATTTTAATATACATTTTTTTTTGTCGAATGTGACGCGTTTTTTGACGAAAAGAAAGTAGAAGGGTTCGAACAGTAATAAAGAAGCAACAACAAAAATTTGATTATTTAATGGAAATTTGGCTAAACATACAACGCTGTTTCGAATATTGCCAAGTACTCATCATCAATGATCTGAGGAAATATTCGAATTTTTATTTAATTAGTTTATAGTACGTGTATATATTGTGTCAGGCTTCTTCAATTTTTTTTCTTGCTTCTTTATTACTGTTCGAACCCTTCTAAACATATTTCATATTTCATTTATAATGTTTGCTTTATAATTTCTATTTATATGCAGTTTTGCTCGTAATTGTGTCGTCGACAAAGACAAACGTAATCAGTGTCGTTATTGTCGTTTGCGCAAATGTTTTAAGGCAGGTATGAAAAAGGAAGCAGTCCAAAATGAACGTGATCGCATTAGTTGTCGTCGCACATCGAACGATGATCCTAATCCCGGTAATGGGCTATCGGTGATATCGCTAGTGAAGGCCGAAAAAGAAAGTCGCCAGTCAAAAGCAGGAGCTGCTATGGAAACTAACGCCGACGAAGACCTTTCAACTAAACAGTTTGCTAGCATCAATGATGTTTGTGAGTCAATGAAGCAACAATTGCTTACTCTAGTCGAATGGGCTAAGCATATACCGGCTTTCAATGAGCTGCAGCTTGATGATCAGGTGGCATTACTTCGCGCGCATGCAGGTGAGCATTTGTTGCTTGGCCTTTCCCGTCGTTCCATGCATCTCAAAGATGTTCTATTACTTGGAAACAATTGTGTTATTACAAAATATACTCCTGGTAATTGATTTATAATTATTTTAGTGTTTTAAAAATTTTATTTTTTTTCGACTTATTTATTTATAGATGCACGGGTCTCACCTAATTTGGACATATCACGCATTGGCGCTAGAATTATTGATGAACTTGTCTTTGCTCTAAAAGATGTAAATATTGATGACACCGAATTAGCTTGCATTAAGGCGCTTGTTTTTTTTGATCCGAGTAAGTATAAACTACGTATAAAGCACACTCCAGCTAGTAGTATTCCTAGAAAATTATTAAAATAAGTGTTTAATCTGCTCAATTTCTCCACTGTTTACAAGCTGTGTACAAATTTGAGTACAAAATAATTTATTTTACTTTAATTAGGTAGTATATATTTTATAAGATCGTTTACTATTAAGACTTACTTTATCCAAAAAACCTTGTGCCTTTGAAAAATCGTATATTAAACTAATTTATGTCACTAAGCTCATATGTGGATTAATCAGTTTTTCATTATTGTTGAAATAACAATATAACGAATTATAGATAATCATATGTAAAACTATGTTTTATAAAACATTATCTATGCTGATAAAAAATAGAACCTCAGGGCACATTCTCCCATGTTCAGAAACCAGGAGTATCGTCTTCATGAAACCGCCCAAAGCGTACTAGCTTGATTTATTTTCGCGAATGGATCAACTATACCTAATTAATATTCAGTCTATATACGTAAGATGGTTATTAATTCCAACTTCATATGAAAATTCAATGCAGCTGACGGCAGTAGAGCTTTGGTTCCAAAAGCAGATAAGTTCACGAAACCTTTCCACAACAGCATAACCAGGTGTCATTCATCACTGCTTTCAAAACTCTACCATTCACCAAAAAGTAGAATTAAGTAAGCTTTTCAAAAACCAAAGGACCTTAAATTGAATCCAGTTGAAACATATATCTTGCTGTGTTTATATTTAAAAATAGTTATATCGATATCTATATTAATTTTGTATACTACTGTATGATAACACTTTACAATCTAGCTCAATAATCGTTACACCTTTGCTGAGTTTCGCAACACCACAGGAAATAGATACTACAGCAGTTTAAGACTCCTTAAGCATAAAACATTGACACATACTGTGTCTTAACCCAAAGAGGTGATAGAAGAGGCACATTATGGTATATTGCTAAGAGTTGTGGTTTATTTCTAAAAAAACATTTAACATAATGTCATACGTTTTAAATAGCAACAATAGTCTTTAGTACTCACAATATTTATCAGTATTATAAGATAGTGCACTTGTAAAAATAGAAAGCAAATTAAAGTGTTGCTCTCAAGTTGGCAGTAATAGATGGACTACTCTTACAGTTGTGTTCATTATAGCCGCAGACAGTATCATCATTAAACCATTCAGTTGCACAGATTAATTTAAGGAAATCTGTTAAGTTCACCTTCATTATTTCTATCAGTCTAGTAAAGAAATGATCTCTTAGTCATTAAAATTGCTTCGTCTGCTGTTTTGAACAAAAACACAGAAAGAGATTGATGAATTCCACCTATTTTTCGTCATAATCACTCATCCACACCGTACTGGAGCAGTCGCGTAAGCCTACGATCTATAGGTTTGTTGAAGACAAAAAATTTTGCATTATCTTAATTTCTAATCTAAATCATAACGTTCTATCGATCTCACTGTCTTCGATAAGTCATTTATTATTATATATAGGTATATATTGAGATATTGACCCATTTACTCTTTTAATCTGTATCCACATATCTACGAGGCAGAGACAGACTTTGTGGACCTCAATGTATAGTAGCTAGCTGCGATATTTTTTGATAATTTTCATTTGGATAGTTCTAGAATATATTCTTTTCATTGCTACCTATCATTATCTACAAAGGTAATGATGTATAAAGATCGAGTTGCCATGCTGCTTTTTCAAAGTCTCTACAAGTGTCAGGGAGTCTGTATGTCATTTAGGTAGAGACACGCGCTCTTGTATCTCTTGTTATTTGTATAAATAATAAGTTAAAAATAAACAATAGAAAATCTAGTTTAAAATCTATGATATACTATGTCGAGTAGTTTATAGTTGATCTCATAACCACCTTAATAAAGTCATTACCACACCTATTTTTAATTTTATACAAAATAGCCCGGTATTCATTATTAGCTGATTTCCCCAATTATGACTCTCGTAGTCTGAGCATTCCTTAGGCGGCACAGAGCACCATAGCGGTAGAAATATATCGTCTTGCATTTTTACATTGAACTAAATATTCTACGTGGTAGCGGTAAGTGCTATAAGAAGATGGACTGAAATTGTATGGAGTGCGGAATTTAAACATAAGTTAGATAGAATGGTACTGTGTACTACATAAAGAGTTGAATATGCTAACACAAATTTCCTTTTCCTAGTTACTAGGAATCCTAGTGTAGTGAATCAATATGAAATGTGAATGTGGAATGTACATATACATATGGACTATGAGCATGCCATCTAGAATAATATATAATATTTTTGTACCATTAGATATGGGCATTTAACATTTATTTGGGCTTACCATTTTAAGTACATATATTTATATACTGATACTGAACGATAGATATACTGAACGTAAAATTTATATATGTTCATTTAAGATAAAGTAGAGGTCTTAGAATTATCAGAAAAAAACAAAAGTATAACGTGGATTGAGCAATGGTGGAAATGTACTTCATTAGAACGAATTCTCTATAGTCAATGTATTAAAATTAGATCTATGACTTAAGCTATTCGGTTTATTTATATTTGATATATTGAGCTATATATGGTATATTGAGAGTAAACGTTTCTTTTGATTACAGTTTTCTTTGGCACTCTGTATCCCTATTGATTTTCTTATTAATTGGATTAGAGAATTACCTCTCACATTTATTGTGAATATATAATAATAGTATAATATTAAATAGTGGAATATCACTTTTTTAATATATGTAAATAATTAATTAATTTATCATTTTAATTACTTATTTATGTGTTTATATTTCATTAGTTTATAAATATTTTTTCAGATGCCAAGGGACTTAATGAACCACAACGTATAAAGACTTTACGCCACCAGATACTTAACAATCTGGAAGATTATGTTTCCGATCGTCAATATGAATCACGAGGCCGTTTTGGTGAAATACTTTTAATTCTACCTGTGTTGCAATCGATCACATGGCAAATGATTGAGCAAATTCAGTTCGCGAAGATATTTGGTGTCGCACATATTGATTCATTATTACAGGAAATGTTGCTCGGAGGTATGTTTTTAATTATTTATTTCCCAAAGAGTAACGCTTGAACGTGTTCTGTCTATTAAAAATCTTTTTATATAATATCTTTCGTTCAGTTACCTAAATTCTTAAGCCAATATACCGGGTGTTTTTTAAACTGCAAGAGAACTATTGATTTCGATATCAATGGATTGACAGCTGCGGATATCAAACTGTGTTGATCATTTGTTGCGGTTTACATGCTAGCGACATTATCGGTCCTTATTTCTTTACAAATGAGAAAGGATCTAATAGCTGCCGTTACGGTGGATGGCAAGCGGTATCGAGCCATGCTGATTGAAATTTTTTTCAGCAATTTCCAAAAATTAATCAGTTAAACATCGACGACATTTGGCATTTGGTTCCAACAAGACGGCGCAGCGCAACTTAACATATAACTGGTAACAACTTTATTTACAGAAGTAGTCCTGTGTCAATTACTTTTTATGGAGATAGGTCTATGTTAAGTCATTGGTTTATGCCAACAATCGATAAACCAGTAACTGTTGAAGCATTGGAAGCCAATGTTCATGCCATCATTGACGCTATACAGCCATGTTTATTGCTGTTAAAAAAAATTGTCAAAATTTGGACTAATTAAATGGATCATGTAGCCGCGGCGGAGATATCCCGCAAATCATATTCAAAAAATGAGATAAAATGCCAAGAAATTATCTACCAAATTATAATGAAAAAAAATTCCATTTTAACAATACAACAATGTCGTGTATTATGATTTTAAGTACTCATGCTGCTAAAAACACACCCGATATATAGCTTATCTGAATTCATACCTTTTAAGGTTTGATACATGATAAATATGTACTTCAACACAGAAAACCGGTTTGTGAATGAACAATTGACGAAAGATACTATTTCATTTGTTTCTATAAATTGTGTTTCTATTCTTCTAAAGCTTCAAATCGAAAAAAGAAATATCAAAGAATATATTATCAAAGTCAAAACCGGAACCGAATTGTTAAACGGAACCGGTTCAAAACCCTGATGAACAAATAAATTTCAAATTCTTTTTTTCGTTTTACTAAAATATATTTTTATATTTTTTGTTTCATTATTAATTATGAATCTATTTTAAAATTATTTATTTTTTTATTTATAGGCGAATTAGCGGATAACACATCACCGTTGTCTCCACATTTAAATAGTTACAGTCCTTCGCATGGTATGGATACCAGCCAAGTTACATCATCTCTAGATATATTATCACCAGCTACAACATCCGATCACTTATCACAAGATCCAATGACACCTTGTATTGACAGCAGTCTTGATGGACAGATTATGTCACCACTTCTAGAAAATTTGGCACCAAACAATGGCAGTTTTCACTTAAGAGCAAATACAGGTGTGCACCGAGCTCAAGGTCAAATGCACAATGGAAATTCACCACACCAAAGGGACACTGATCATTCTGAAGCAAACAGTGCTGGTCACAATAATGCTGTTTACATGGATGCAGCAAGTCTGTACAATAGCGATAGTACGCACGGACGTACTAATGCCGCCGCTAATGGTATCAATGGCTCACATAACCATCACGTCCATTTGTCAACGAATTTGCACACAACAATCAATCATAGCCAAACACATTCAAATGCCAGTAGTACACTTCAGCAATCACCACCATTACACCGTACCCATCCTTACCAAAGACCTGATCTATTGGCAACAACAAATTCTAATTCATTGCATATGCGTAATCCTGCCGACATGACTCTCAATGAGTACAATCGTAGTGAAACTAGCGGTGGTCCGGAAGATTTATTACGTCGTGCCCCCCTCAACATACGCACATCAGAAACACTTACTGGAAGCACGAATTACTTGCTCACTGGCTTACACGATACAGACGCTTATCGTATGACATTAAAACAGGAACCGGAAACCGGTTATTGACTAGATTCTGCAAAGTACTGTAGAACGCGTAATAATAATTATTGATTGACTGAAGAGGTTTTAATTATGAACATAAAATTTAAATATATTAGATATTTTGGTTATTATAGGAGGGAGGTGGGGTTGTCGAAATTAACATTTTCAATACCAACAACTAAAATGTTTAGCATAATAATGTATAATAAATAGAATGAGAGTACTCGTATTCTAAACACAAAAAAAAAGATAATATTATATTATTAAAAGCGCGCAAGAGTTCTGTCGCCCAGAACATTACGTCTTCCATAAAGAACCCGCACTCTTTAGCGCATTATGGTTTTTATGTATTGTTATTATATTCATAAAATGAATGAATTTAAGGTAGAAAGCCCAAATCTTATACATTATATATATATATATAATTTTTTATTGTACAATATTTTGTGTTTTATTGTAATTACTTATAAATTTTTATAATTGTTATTCAGTTTTCACTAGAATTAAGTAGGTTTGTTTGGAATTGTTAAATTTATATTATATTGAGAATTAACTGATATAAAATTATAACAAACATATTGCACTGGTAGATTGAACACATCAAAGCAACTCTAACACGGTTATTATAAAGCATTCATTTAAGCACTTAGAGGAGCAATCGAACATAAATACAAACAATACTTCATATTTATTGGAAATTAGCTAAACTTCGGAGCAGTGTTAGGTTAAGGTGAACAATACCGTATATACATTAAATATAATATATACATACATATATATTATAACGACATATAATGAATTAACCAGCAGTGTGTTGTATCAAACATGAGGAAATGAATAAAATTAATTTACCTAAAAAACTTTTGATTCTTTTATTATTATTATTTTTATTATTATTTTATTATTACTGTTTTTTTTTTTTCTTATAAGCGTTGTTTTTTCCACTATTTTTTTCTATCTTGTGATGAAGACACTAGCCTAAAAGATCTTTGAACAATGATAATCTATATTATGGTTTTGAATTTTTGAATTTTAGGCGAGTAATGTTTTTTGCATTATCATCGATCAACAAAAAAGTATTAACATATTTGAAGCCATAGATCCATAAATCTATTTTCAAATTCTGTACAATTAGTGAAAACAAATACAAATTATTTACTTAGTTGCACATTACAAATGTTAGTCGTCCTTGTCTGCGTCTAGTCAGCCCGATAAGTACATGGCTGTCGCCAGGTGCCAGTACCGAGTGTCTGTACATCTTCGAAGTCGCTGAGTTTATGTGCGACTATGTCAATGCCAGATCATTGATCCTTAACACATCAAAGTTGACGCTATAATTAACTTTAACAAAAACGGTATTAAACTCTATAATGAACTAGTTACAAAACACTCTGTAGACTCAATCACCATATGAGGAATATAGCTGCGGTAGAAAGTGATTCCTGGCGACTCTAGCATGAGTAGAAGAAAACATCAGAAGCAACAGAAGTTCTAAGCAACTGCCCAGCGGCGGCAAGACGTAGATTTGACTACCTTAGAAGCGAAATCTTAATCCCAAATCAAATAAGTAAAATTAAGGCCACAGCAATTACTAGTTTTATAATTAGTCTAGAATTATTTTAGTTGGGCTTTTAGGCGCACAATAGATCTTTTAGGTCTTTTGATTTATAGATTCATAGCCTATTATTTGATAATAATAACAACGTAAATGTAAACGGCAAAGCTCTTGCAGCTCATCGTTCTATCTAATCAGAAACTTGTTTTCTTACCCTACCACGAAAAGGATCATAGATCTTAAGAAGAATTTTTCTTTCGAATGCTCCTAACGCTTTCTCGTCATTTTTGGTAATTATCAAAGCAAATTCAGTTTAACAGGGTTTGACTTACTTTCAAAGTTGACATAAAACTACAAATAAAAACAATTCTCTAAAATGTTAAAATTTGGTTGGTTGCAGTAGCAGGCCATTAGATAATTCCCATGTACCTTAATTAGCGATTTTTCTTCGTTTTGCTGCAAGAACCCCTAGTATAGAAGAGTAGAAACTAAATCCATCACAGAGAAAATGTGTTTCTCCCCGTGGACTCTTATACACCAATGATCAGAAAGATGAATTCCAGGATCTAATTTTATTATGGGTGGGCCATAGTAACCTAGAAGATGCATAAGACTTAAGTGCTTAAGAATGTAGAAGTAAGTACTTCTCTTAATGGTCTCCTTATATTAATCGGTATACCACATGCTATTTGTAAGTACTAGTATAGATGTTGTTACAGAATTGATGGAACAGTGTTATAACCTGCACTAACAACTGATCTGCTATGTTGGGATATTTATGTTGAGCATATGATCCTTCGGCTCGTGTCATAACTGTTAATAAGTAACATTCTTTTTATTACACTTTATTTATTGTAACCAATCACTTAGATATATAACATAGATATATAATTAGATATATAATATAGATATCTCTAAAAATTGTTATTATAATCAAGTATATTTCAACCTCCATTATGATGATATAAAATCGGATATCTAAAAATAAAATTTATGAAGAATGAACTGGAGATAAATTCGAGCAAAAACTGAAAAGAACATCTCAATCTCTTGGCTAGGCAAATACTACAAAGTAAACTTTCATAAAAATTACGTAGAGAGGATATAACAATTCATAATTTATTTACTTATATCAATTAACTCTAAGTATTGTTTTCAATTAATTTGCATATGCTAAGTCAATGGTTCAAGACCACCTGAATAATCCATTCCATTAGACAGATTCAATAAATAAATTTTGTTGTACGTAAAAAACTTATAATATATTGCACCGGGGCATATTTCAGAGTATATAACGTTTATGATTGTCTTAAGCAATATATCAGCTATTTGTCTGGTGACTACATTGGCTGCCAGATCAGTTCCTGACTTAATAGGCTCACGTTAAAAGCCCTAAATATGCTACTAAATAAATAACCGATAAGTTTGTAAATCAAATATGCAATATTCTAGCATAAATTGTCTCCCACACATTCCCAATCCATTTTCGTTTCCAAAACAATCCATAATTTATATTTATTATACCTTACCATATCCTAACCCATATATACGCATTTGTTATTCCTTCCATGCTAACTGCATTATAAATCCTGACGGCTGTCCACAACAGCAACAAAGCGCAGGTGGTATATCTTCATGACTATTATTTACTATTATTCAAATCCAATTCCAAATTTAATCAAATAATCCAGATTCTTTTTACAACTCAACGATAACTTTATTTCGTTTTTTAAATCACAAATTTAAGCAAACTTATATAAATAGAAGAACTGAAGTATTCATTCACAAAACCTTTCTTTTTTGAATAAATCAATTTTCTTAATACATTGGGAAAGCGCTTTACAAAAGCTTTTAAATATATTCAAAATTAGTTCAATGTACACTCCTTGCAAAATATATCAATATATCAAAAAACAAAAAAAAAAAACCAAAAATGCTATGGCTTGCAAAGACAATAATGGTATAAGTGTGTAAATATGGCTGCAGAACCCAGTACTGACGTCAACCCACTTGGCAATGTATTTCCATTAACGCATTAACGCGATGTTTACACTAAACCAGGTTTAGCTCTGGTTAATCATTTCCGATCGCCTCTGCAGAGATGATGTTAGCTTACAGGTTTATTGACGCAAATAACGGATTCTGCATTTCGTTCGAAGGGATGAAGGGAAATTATTGTTGTTTTGGACGTCGAAACAGCAACACATGCGGCTCTGGCTTGTGTACCATATAATGAACCCAACCTCGTGATTGTTGGACACCAATTGAGCGCCATTCTGCCTCTGACATCAGATGTGTTTTTGGTACCAACTTTACAAGTGCTTTGGGCAAAAATACATGTCTGCAATATAGAAACAAAAACTTATTTGTCATACACTGTCATTGCACGAAAAAATAGTTGGCATTTACCTGTACTCGAATTTTTCATCGTAGTATTTTGCGGAATAATATATATCGTCGGTCATAATTACTCGTAGAATTTACACAAACTTAAACTTTTGAATCTTCTTGGATTTATTTTATTGTTTTTATGCAATAAGATGTTTGTTATTTAGCGTAATAGAATCGACTTGAACAGCAATGCTTTAAAATATTCCAGAAAAAACTCGAAATCTAATTTTATGTTTGCATTTTAAATCTATTTATGAACTTCTTTTTGCACAAAAAATCAAATTAAACCGGTACTTAATTCCCACTTCTCATAAACGTTCGCAAAAACAGTACCAGAAGCGCCAGATATATTTTAAATTCGCGCTCCTTTCGCACGCACTTTTGAATGTGTTGAAGTAAGATAGCCTCTGGTTTTGTAAGCGTAAAAAAATTTCTGCAGGTGTGTGTAAAAACAGAATTTTTTAATTTTATCTTATCAGCCAAATGTTGTTAGCAAGACAAGGACAAAATGATTTACACAGATCATGTAAAGGAAGCAGCATTGCCAAGTAAAGTTTTTAATTAAAATATATATTTGACATTCATTGGTTCATTATGGTCACATATCTACAAATTTTATTAAAGAGTTATTCCATTTGAAAAGAGAATTTCATTTTTGCAATCTTTGGTTTGCTTTTTATCAAATAAAAATCTTACAATAAACTTCATATGCTTAGCAAAATCTATTTAGAATTATCATGTTTTCACTGGTCTCATTTAAGTAATTGTGCTCATTAAAGCCGGTAATAAGGATAATATCTGTTATGGCGGAAGTGACTACTTTGCCTAATAAAAACTAATATATTTAGTAAAGAGGTTTCGAACAGCAGTAGACTACAACAACAAAAATTCTTTTTATATTTTTTATATTCATTTATGTTATATTTAATATAATATTTTATATTAATTTATTTAATTTTATACAATAAATAAATAAATTCATGACATAAATACTTTAATAGTTATTTAAATAAATTCATAACTATCTGGAGAGAATGATGTTGTCAAAAGAACTATAGCGCTGTTGATAACAACATAAACATACGAATAAATACGAATAAATCGTGTAAATCATATTTTAATAATATGTTTTAAAATAACCCAAATAAATATTTAAATTAATTTAAAATTATATATTTTACATCGAATTTATTGAAAATAAATATTATTTACTAAATTTTAATCTTAAAAAAAATACGTCAACATATTTATATTTTGCTTAGTTTTTACTTCTCCCTTTTTTCAAAAACTCAAATTTATTTATTCTTTTTTTATACTACTATATAATAATATATCTGTACTGCCGACGGAATAGATGTACTGCGGCACTAATATTGATTCGGGACATGATCTTGTTCTTATGACTGTGCAAGGAGGTATTCTTCTGATGGTAGATCCAAACCAACACTGATCACGTATTAAAATTTATTTTTACTTTGTTTTTTGCCTATCCGGGGAAATGATGAAACTCAGAATGCTAAGCTTAGAGTAACTAACTTACAAATTTATAGTAAATATGGCGTATGGATGTAAAGAAAGAAAACTTTCGTAAAGGTACACTATACAGAAAGCATGCAGAAATTATTTGTACTGTTAAGTAACTCCTATAAAATAACTCACTTTATACTAAAAATCACACAGCCCTTTAATATAACAATATCATTGTTCAATACCTGTGTCGGTTTATCTATGCGAACTTAACAATTATTCAGATCTTAACATTCAGAGAAGATCCAATCCTGAATTTTTATTAACCCTTTAAAACGGTAATTTCTAAACTTCAACTTGTTGTTGCTGGAGGCCCAGATGTTAAGAAAAAACTGGTTGTAGATTTGAACTCAATAGTTTTAAATAGTTTTAACTCAAAAATAGTTTAAAGAATCCGAAAATGAAAAAAACCATTACTGTCCCCCTGGCTGGAGACATTTCAATTAAAACGTTACAATTTTTGAATTGATCGGATATAATACTTACAGACAAATAATAGGATATAATAGTAAAAAATTTATTAGGGTAGAAGAAAAAATAAAGAGATGCCAACTTTATATATGTTTATTAATTATTATTTTTAGGTTATCTACTGATACTATACTATATATGGGAACTTAATAGAACGGGAATAATGGGATGCAGTGTGTCTAATTATTGAACAGTAAACTTACGTGCAAATTCTGAAATGTAGGTCGCAGATTTTATCGAAGAAACTTCTACAAGTCCACGAAAACCTCATTTGTTTGAGTTCCTCGGAATGGTTTAGTACATTTCTGTACCATTTTGAAATTTTATATAACGTACCCTGTATCACAAAAGTGAACGTGGATAACAAGAAAGACTCTATAAGTTTTTTTATGATCAATTATTTATTGGGTTATGAATCCATAGGCTAATACTCTAAATTGAGAATGAAGATCACGTTTACTTCTCTATAGAAGTGTGCGATCTAACCCATAATAAAAAAAACCATAAAGAGGTTGAACAATAAGACAAAAATGGTATCCGTGCACTTGATTCAAACGGTTGAAACGAACGTTTTACGTATTACATCTTATTCCTAGCAAAGGTTACTCCAGATATTGTTCATTACTATTGCGTAGAAACAGTATCTTCGTTGACAGTGCATTGTAATACAGTTAATTCTATAAGAAAGCCAGGAAAGTATGTCTGCAGAAACAATCGGGGGAAACCCTGGTTTTTCCACATGTGCTAGTACCCAGTAAAATAAACGTTTGCAGACTACACGAAACTAGTTTTCTTCCTGGGCATACCTCTACTTCCGAATCACGTTAATCGGTATAAACACTCACCAATTTAATATAGATTTTACAATTTCTATGATACATAAAGTAAAGTTCAGTATTTTTTCTATTTTTGCGTAGATGATAGTAGATCTTTATATATCATTATTTAACTTTTCTCACTTATTATATTCTAGCAGGTACTTTACTTTTTGTTTATTTTACTGCTTCCCATACAGTATGAGAGTTAAAGTCCATTATCAACTGTCAGACAATGGTTCTGTAAAAGATAATAAATTGTTGGTCTTTCGATGGTAAAATGGTTTGATCTTTATCCGAAAATCAGAAATACACTACGGTTATATTATCGAGTCTTCCAAAACTTGGACTTTTTAAAAATACTGATAAGCCTTTGAGAGTGATATTTGTTAATGCAAGATATCGAACATCTACTTCGATTAGGACAGCTGTAAATAGTACTGCTAGCGAACCATCACGTATTGACATAAGAACTCACCTGTTTTCATGTTTAGATATCGGTTGAGATAACCAAACGTCGCTTTCTGTATGAGTCCAAGGACACTATTGGTTGCATAGGCAAATCTTGAAAAGGTCAAGGTTTATGCTCCCTTAGAGGTAACCGCTAGTGGATGTCTATTCAAATGTGATACCGCCAGAGCTGTGTTAGCTGTGTCAGACAGTCAGTTAGTGCCATTAACACTAATTGTCCGCACCGTCATGCAATCCCACACTTCAGTTTGTAAAATCTCCCAAAAAATGAGTCATCAGTGACAAAATCCAAATATCTGATTCTAAATAAGTCTTCAAACTGTGCCTAGACGCGTAGCCTAGAAGTAGGTTACATGGAATTCATTTTTCCCAAGCACGCGAGTCTGCCCTGATAGCTTTTAGAACTAAAATATACTTAACTCAACTTGTAGTTTTATTACCAGCATTTAATAATTTAATATTATGATTCTCTTTAAAACTTTTACAAAAAATTATTGCTTTAATGGAGTCGTCAAAAGTTGGTATTATTTAGGAAAATGCTTGGAATGAATTTCCTGTAAATGGCAAATGGTGTAATATAAACAAAAGAAGTTAATTTCTGAGTTGTTATGGAGTGATCTCATATGCCACAAGAGAGATGAGAAAGGGAATAGATAAGTGCGAAAAATTAAAACTATGTTTGCGAAGTACAGCAACATTGTTGTCGATTCCGTGCGTATACGTTTGGACAACATAGTGCCTCAAAAAATTAAAGAAATTGGCTAAATTAAAAGTTATACAATTTGAGAGGACATGTCAGTGGATGAAGTACGCGATTTAGGTCAGTATAAAAACATAAACATGAATTCAAAAGATATTTACAAAACTCAGCTTAAAGGTCTGCTGATAATTTGGCAGTCGGCACCTTGACGTGCTTCGCGATTAAAACCAGTATCTATAGTGTTAGCAGGAAGAATAGTGTGGCTTCAGTTACCACAACAGACACGAGAAAAAAGGAAATTGGTAATCTTTGAAGTATGATGATACTGCTGCCAATTGAAGTACTGTGGTATATTAACAGGCACTTTACATTCGAATTTAATCAAAACACTCAAAGAGAGTAGCGTTGTGATACTGCGGAGAGCTGCCAGATCGTAACTGTTTGCTATTGGGTACAATTCCCATATGAAGTAATCCTTAGTTGTGGCCCGCGGCATGGTGGCAAAATATCCAGAAGCTCTGAATGTTGCTATTTAGAACGAAGTATATTGAGGTAAATCAATAATCAACGTAGCCTTTAAATCCTCTTCACCGTAAGAGGTAGTAGACTTTTGCAGTAGAATAGGAATAATTCATATTTATCAAATTAATGGAACTGCTGTCATGCAGCCCCTAAACTGTTTCACATTAAGATCCTGAGCGTTCATAGCAGAAGAGAGCTCAAAAAACATATTTTATTTTTCATATAAATATATATAAAATGAATGACACAAAAAAATTATTAATGAATACTTTATATTGTATTTGAATTTATATAGAAATAATATTTATACATAAATAATTCGTTTATATATTTTTCAAACTTCTGACATCACTAGTTGATGTTAAATAAGCAGTATTTAATAGTGTTTTAATTTTCTTGCAATTAAATTATAAATTTTTGCTTTTATTATTGTGTTTTGTGTTTACTCATGTATTACATTTTTACATGAACACAATACAGACATTAAATTAACTCATTGTAATAGTTATAAATAATAACCAAACTTTTCTATCATCTGACTGGAATTTTTCATTTTCTTCCAAAAATCATTCACAATAGATTAGTTTTAAGATTGGGCACTATTATAAAGCGAATAGCTTATTCGCACGGTTGCCACTTATGTTACTTTAGTACCAAAATTGGTACTTTTTCTTTTTTTTTTTTCGTTTGGTACTCACGTTCAAAAAATGGTACATTTTTGACGACCCAACTTTATTGTGGATATTTCCAATTAATTTTTTTTATAAATGCAACTTTGCACTATTCTATATTTTGTTCATTTATAACACTATGAAAAACACAGAACGAGAAAACAAAAAGGTCCAAAAAAATTTTGGACCTTTTTTTACAGAAATGGTACCTTTTTAAACTAATTTTGGTACAGAAAAAAATTTTCAAGTGGCAACCGTGCTTATTCGTGAACTTTTTTCACGATCTCTTTAAACGACTTGCATAGTGAACTAAGCATAAAAGGTTAATGAATGCTTCTTGTCGGCATCGAATAAAATTATGAACATATCAAATATTTAAAAGAGAATGGTCAACAGTGATCAACTGCATAAAAACCAAGGAATTTTGTCCAGAAATTAGTAAGAAAAGATTGGGGTTAATTAATCAACCTATCCCGAGCAAATATATCCAAGATAGTGGGAATAATTACGGGACACTGCCCATTGGGAGGACATGCCGTGAGGCCCAATATCAGGACCTCCTTACATCGTAGACATTGCATGGAGAATGATGAAGAGGAATCATCAATACAGCTTCTGCTACAGTGTCCTGCTTTTGCAAGACATAGACACTCCTACTTAGGGTCACACTTTTTCAATTTACTAAGAGAGCTAGATTCTATTCCCATAGCTCGTGTCAATGGCTTTGTGGCCAGTACCAAATGGTTATAGGGACAGATGTCAAATTTTTTACGGTATAACAATGGACCTCATGGTCTAAGTGAGTCTTGGACCTTTAATTAATTGAATTTTTGGCTGACCATACAGCTGTTTCGAGGATTGTCAAATACCCATCTTCAGGGGTCTTGAAAATAATTCTTGTATTTAATGATTCGTGAAATTTTTTTTGAGACTACTAATATTTGTAAATTTTGAGTACATGATATAAATCATGTACTCATATATATAAAAAAAATTGATAATCATTATATCTTTAAAACAATTTCGTAAGTTTGACCTTTGGTACTCATAGCTAAAATTTATATGCATATTACATTGTGTTACCATATACTCGTATTAATGAAAGACTAAGATTTTGCAAAATATAAAAAAATCTGCCAAAAAATTTTTTTAATTAAAAATTATGCTTGGCAGTGTTGCTATTTTATATGATTCTGTGTAAATCGTTTTGTCTTTGTTTTACTAACACCATTTGGCTGTTGACATGAAATTAAACAATTTCTTTCTTTCGCACACACACTTACCTGCTTAAATTTCTTTACATTCACAAAACCAGAGGCTATCTTACTTCAATGCATTGAAAAATGCATTTGAAAGGAGCGGGCATTTAAAACATAAATGAGATTTTGCCCGCATTGCTTTTGTAGATGTTGTTCTTCAAAGCCACTGTGTGATCGTCGATTTTGAATTTGGTTTTATTCATAAATACAAGTGCGAATAAATTGTAAATATTTGCATAAACACAATATATTTTTGTGAACTTTTTAAATAACTCTTTTGAATATTTGAATTAAAATATTCAACACAACAAATACTTAATCAAGAAAAGCGCAAGAAGGACTGTTTGAAGTGCATTATATTTTTTTCAGTTCCAGTTATTTATATACAAAAATGGCCGACGATATATATTACTCCGCAAAATACTACGATGAAAAATTCGAGTACAGGTAAATGTTGACTACTTGTCCGTGTAATGGACCGTGTATGATAAATAAACAAGGTTTTGTTTTTATATTGCAGACATGTAGTTTTGCCCAAAGAACTTGTGAAGTTGGTACCAAAAACACATCTGATGTCAGAGGCAGAATGGCGCTCAATTGGTGTCCAACAATCACGAGGTTGGGTTCATTATATGGTACACAAGCCAGAGCCGCATGTGTTGCTGTTTCGACGTCCAAAACAACAATAATTTCCCTTCATCCCTTCGAACGAAATGCGGAATCCGTTATTTGCGTCAATAAACCTGTAAGCTAACATCATCTCTGCAGAGGCGATCGGAAATGATTAACCAGAGCTAAACCTGGTTTAGTGTAAACATCGCGTTAATGCGTTAATGGAAATACATTGCCAAGTGGGTTGACGTCAGTACTGGGTTCTGCAGCCATATTTACACACTTATACCATTATTGTCTTTGCAAGCCATACCATTTTTGTTTTTTTTTTTTTGTTTTTTGATATATTGATATATTTTGCAAGGAGTGTACATTGAACTAATTTTGAATATATTTAAAAGCTTTTGTAAAGCGCTTTCCCAATGTATTAAGAAAATTGATTTATTCAAAAAAGAAAGGTTTTGTGAATGAATACTTCAGTTCTTCTATTTATATAAGTTTGCTTAAATTTGTGATTTAAAAAACGAAATAAAGTTATCGTTGAGTTGTAAAAAGAATCTGGATTATTAAATTAAATTTGGAATTGGATTTGAATAATAGTAAATAATAGTCATGAAGAAATACTATCTGCGCCAGGATTTATAATGCAGTTAACATGGATGGAATAACAAATGCACATAAATGGGTTAGGATATGGTAAGATAAAATAAGTGTAAATTGTGGATTGTTTTGGAACGAAAATTGATTGGGAATGTGTGGAAGACAGTTTACACTAGAATATTATATATTTGATTTACAAACTTATCGGTTATTTATTTAGTAGCATATTCAGGGCTTTTAACGTGAGCCTATTAAGTCATGAACTGATCTGGCAGCCAATATAGTCACCAGACAAATAGCTGATGTATTGTTGCAAGAAGCCATGAGTTGATTCTCTGATTAAGTTGGTTATATACATATATATAATATAAAAAGAATAAAATCTTGCATTTATGTGGTACTTTGAGGTTAGTCAATGGAAGTCTTTGAAAATCTTCAATACGCTCTATTCTTGTGAAATTATTATTTATTGTCATCTTATTGGAAATAATGATTATATGAAAACATAAAGTACGGTTTTGACGGTTTCACCATAAATCATTCTAATTTAGAATTAATTTACTTTAAGGAACCTATGTAAAAGATATGTTGACGTTAAAGTTTAAAAATAAAAACTGAAAACAGTAGGCTAGAACAACAGTTATTCATAAAACATATTGGTTTTCATTTTTAATTTCGGATTCATTCATGTATTTAAAAATTCTTTGATTTTGGCTCATCGGAAAATTTCAGCATATCTCTTGAAAATGCCACAAAATCTGGAAGTTTTACCGAGATCACACTGTATTGCCAAATTTCTAAGGTATCAAAATCAAAATGTAGGAGGTATGACAGAGCATTATTTGTTTAAGATAAAAAAAGTACATTTCTATTTATTATAGCCCAAGATCAAAGAGTACCTCAAGCTAGGACTGTAACTGGCACCGTTTTGACAACAGTCGTCCATAGAAGAGCAATTGAATTTCCTTCACAAACAGAACCACTCATAGAGGAAGTTTTCACTGTAGAGGAAGTTCACACCCCCCAAAATAATGAGCCAAGAGTTTTGATAGAAGAAATCGATTAAGATGAACCATGGATAGGCAGTTAACATCAACTACAGTGGCACGTGAAAGTTTCCAGCCAAAAGCACATGTCAAATTTTATTTTGTTATCACAATTACACAATCTTTAAGTTAAATGCAATAAAAGTTTTAGTTATATTTTTGATCAATTACTACATTCACACTTTTCTTGATTTTCTATTAATATTATTCCTGCTGCACATCTCTTGAGTTAATTTAACAGTGTAAATGTACTGGTTGTTGTTGTTTTAATTCGTGGAGATCTAATATTAAAAATTAGGAATAAACGGGGCAAAAGTTCTCAACGGAGATGAGCACCGCGATCATAGTTGATCTTTTGTGCTGCTGCCGACCCTAGCTGAACAGAAGATATTTCGCCTTTCCGCCAAAACATCAGCTGTTAAGAACCTCCCAATGTCAGAAGGGGAGAGTAGTTCTCGACCCAGTGATTAAGACTGAATTAAGAACCGGAAATTTAAATCTCAAGAGAGTGATTCGTAATAATATATTAATTATTTATATTAGGTCGTGTGCAAGTTAGGCTAAACCAAATGGGAGATTTTTTTGGGACTTTTTGCACTGCACACATTAAGCCATTTATCAACACGTATCGACACATCACTAGGTCTGTTCCACGAGCTACTCATAGTAACTCATCGAGTAAACACTGTGTATACACAAGCGCGTTCCACCAGCAAATTTTCAAGTATTTTTGTGTAAATTTTACTTCTGTTTTACTCATGTTTTACTATGTGAGTAGCTCGTGGAACAGACCTACTATATTATCGGCACAAGTTAGAATTTTCCTCATTTAGAACGCAACTTAGCCTAACTCGCACACGTCCTTAGTTACTTTTTTATATTATTACTTTACTTTTTACTTTTTCTAATTATTTTTCTATTAATATTAATAAAAGAAACAATAAAAATTAATTATAAAATATATATAAAAAAAATTTTTTTTCAATGCATAAGTTAGAGTACTAAAAGCTCTTATTAATTTGAGAGGAAAGCTCACTATTGAGAATGATCGCATTAACGATCATCTGCGCGCCGACAATGGACGGCTCTCTCTTACAAAAGTATCGCGGAAGCATCGCCTGCATTGTCTACGTCCGAAAGCATTGCGGACGCGTCTTCCCCGATTAAAAATGTACGCCAGGATAAGCAAAATAAACCATATATAATAAACACAAATGTATATATATTTATAGAGCAAATCACAAAAGTTGAGCTTTTCAAATAAATTATAATTTAAGAACAACCATGACTTAGAAAAATCTGTTTTTTGAACTTTTAAAATCGTTACCGATTTTCTGGTTGGGATTGAATATAAATAAGTTTTCATCTAATCTTATTAATTTTAGTCTAATTAAAATAAAAAACATTTTGATTATTCATTACATGGAAAATATCAATAATTGTTTCACGGAATGACATTACGATTTGGTACTTTTGAATGGATGTTTTTCAAAAAGTGCCTTCCATATACATATGTCAGTTTTTTTTTTGCAGTAGATGGAAAGCATCGAAATCTACAGTGTGAAGATTTCCACAGTAATGCGGAAACTTCATTCCAGTAATCAGGTGAGAGAAATGAGAGCATATAGACTTAATACCCATCGGACTAGGTTCATCTAAGCCAGAAAGTATTGTCTTAATTAGGGAGATAGGGTGATAGTGAAGGTGGTTGTATTATAGCGCAAGCGCAGAGGTAAAACTAGCGGTAAACTCTTTGACTCTTTGATTACGGTCCCACTCATCAAAGTAATAGGACAGATATTGGAGGTTTGAAGCGCAAGGTTTGAATGATGCCATCGGGAAGGATGTTCATAATGGAGCCGTCAGTAAGCAGTGGAAACGTAGTAAAAACAGGAATAAACAAGTTACTACAAGTAGCTCGTGGAACAGACCTATTTATTTGTTCTATAAAATAATAGTTGTATTATATTTAGCAGAGACATAAAAAAGTTTTGAGTCACGATATGGTTTAAACACAATTAACTATATAATGTTCTCACCATATAAGAACAGGGTGAAAGCTGTTAACTTCTGACATTTGCGATTGCTAGAGAGACAACCTATTCTCTAGTGTCTCTAGATTGGACAGCTTTACAATGGGATGAAATAAAATAGATACGAAAAGTGAAAGGATGTAAGGGAGGAATAAGAAAAGAAAGTTGTTCCGATCTCGATTCAGACAAGTATATCAATCAGTCGATGGGTTGATGTGTGAGGATTTCAACATGAAAACGGATGGGCGTTATTATGAGGAATAGAAATGCATTTTGGGCTTAAATAAAGAAAAGTGTGTATTTATCAGAGGCAAGTAATTGTTTAACAGGTGATTAAATACAGTTAGAAAGTTCCTTGCTGCGTCTATATGACGTATTTAATCCCCAAACATTTCGTGATTTGAAGAATATGCCAATTGGATATGGAGGACGGAAAGCTCTTGGTTGTATTCGACCACAATGGTAACACTCAATATCTTAAATACCAAGTTATATCAACATGTAACGCAGTAATAAAAGTTGTTCACAATGGTAAGATCACTCATCAAATCGTCTTGGCAGGAAAACAGTAATCGGGCGATTTTATTTAATAATGAAATACTTATAACAACATTTCTATTTAAGGTTATGTTTCATAAGAGTCAAAGTTTTGTGTTTTTACTGCAGTTATTTCGCGTGATTACAAAATGTATTCATTGAAAAAATAACATATGTATATTTGTTTACATATTGTTGATAGTAAGCACAATTTCAGTGTTACATTTGACTTTTCAAGTAATATTATGTTTCCACTGTAAATAAATTAATTTGTGTTAATCAAATTAAGTTTTGGTTGTTTCCTTTAGCATAAGTTGATTTATGCATGTGAATGAGTTTTTATGTGTTAGAAAGTTTTGCAAAAGTTCTAGACCATTTCTTTGTTTACATTTTAAATGTTAACAGATAATATTTAGTTTTGTATTGTTAGCGGAAATTAATTAATTGATAATGAAAAGCGTAGAAAATGTAAAAAATTGTGTGAATAATAAGAATTGAATAGTACTCAGGCCGTGTGCGAGTTCGAGTAAATTGTGTACCATGGCAGCGAATGTTGGTATTTACCAGAATTTCGAGTAGGGTAAATTAGATAAAAATTAGGTAAATTATGTATTACCATTGTTAAAATTGTATAAGATGTTTAATAAATAAATTAATCAATTTGAAAACTTTTAACCAAAAATAATAAATACGTGCAATAAATAAATGAATAAATATTTACATAATGCAGTTCAAAAAATCCCTAGGAAATTTCAATTTACTTTACCTCAATTTACTCGAATTCGCACACGGCCTAATAACGTAATACAATAGGTTTCTTTTTAGCTGCATGAGAACTTAAAATGATAATACAAGACAAAAATATTGGAATGAAATTTGTTTATTATATCTTAGTTAATATCATGGCATTTATTTTTTGATGTAAATGTGGTCGCATGGCGTCAATGACGTTAATGGTGACATGAACATTGGCTTCCAATGTTGCAAGAGTTAATAGTTCGTCGGTTGTCTGCATTAACCAATGACTTAATATAGATTCATCTCCATTAAAAGTAATCAAGGGGCGTTAAATGGCACGAACGAAGGGGTCAGCACAAACTTCTGTTACAATATTTTTCCTCTAATTCCCATGTTCTTTGTTCAATGTTTCTCGATATCAGCTATCGATAATTTGCAGAACCCGACTGCCGACTGTCAAAATTCATATTTCGCCACAGCATAGATTTGATTCGTGGCTGATGCAATTTTTAGTTATTGTGAGGCATTTAAAAGCTGATTGAAGCCGCATAAGAAACTATTAACAAATATGCCTGAAACAGACATGGACGCCCATTCGCTTGGTAAGTTCATCTATTCTACTAACATATAATCTTTAATAAATTTAGGCAAAATGTGATTTATTAATCTTAAACACTTCTTTTCAATTTAGGGAGCATTTTTACTTCAGAAAAATTGGGTAGCGATGACACTGGCAATGGTAGTGAAAACAATCCTTTTAAAACCATACTACAAGCAATGCGCCATGCTGGTAAGGAACCCTTTCCTACCATATATGTAGATAGCAAAGATCCGAATGCAGCACAGCGTTTCGAGCCAGCAGCCAAGTCTCAATTGAAAAAAGTACAGAAAATATTTGTACGTGAAGGCTACAAAAGTGCGGATAAGGAAAAGCGTGAAACTGAAGATGCTGAAAAACGGTTGCAGAATCTTGAGGAAGCACGCAAAATTAAAATTGTAGAAGACGCCAGCTTGGCTAAGGCAACCAAAATTCGTATTTATGAAGGCAAAGATAATCGCAATGTGCGCGTTAAAATAAGTGGTTGGGTGCACAGACTACGCCGACAAGGAAAAGGATTAATTTTTATAACATTGCGCGACGGCACGGGTTTCCTGCAGTGCGTACTTACTGACCGCCTTTGCCAAACATATGACGCACTCACTTTAACTACGGAGAGTTCTGTTATTCTCTATGGTGTTTTAACAAAAGTACCAGAAGGAAAATCTGTAAAGTTTGCATAAGTTCAATAAAAGTATGACAATATTTTATAAAATTTTACATTTTATTGTTGCAGGCGCCAGGTGACCACGAGTTGAATGTGGATTATTGGGAATTAATTGGTTTAGCACCTGCTGGTGGGGCTGAGAGCATTCTAAATGAAGAAGCTCACCCTGATGTGCAACTTGACAATCGGCACATTATGATACGCGGAGAGAATACCTCAAAGATACTTAAAATGCGTTCCGTTATTATGCAAGCATTCCGCTCGCATTACTTTGATAGAGGCTACAATGAAGTAACCCCACCCACATTAGTGCAAACACAAGTAGAGGGCGGTGCAACATTATTTAAATTACAATATTTTAGGTAAGTGCATTTGATAAATTACTTGTCAGCCTAATTCTGAGTTCATTATTCTGCAGTGAGGAGGCATATCTTACTCAAAGTTCCCAACTGTACTTAGAAACGTGCTTACCAGCATTGGGTGACGTATTTTGCATTGCACAAAGCTATCGTGCGGAACAAAGTAGAACACGACGTCATCTCGCTGAATACACCCATGTAGAAGCAGAATGCCCATTTATTAGTTTTGATGACTTACTGGATCGTCTAGAAGATTTAGTATGCGATGTGGTGGATCGCGTACTTAAATCTCCTTGGGGTTATTTAGTGCATGAATTGAATCCAGATTTTAAACCACCCAAGAAGCCGTTCCGTCGAATGAACTATGCAGATGCTATTAAATGGCTTAAAGAAAATAATGTTACTAAAGATGATGGCACTTTCTATGAATTCGGAGAGGTATTTATTATTATATTTTATTTTATATTATTATTATATTTTATTTTATATTATTATTATATTTTATTTTATATTATTATTATATTTTATTTTATATTATTATTATATTTTATTTTTATATTATTACATTTTATTTTATATTATTATTATATTTTATTTTATATTATTATTATATTTTATTTTATATTATTATTATTATATTTTATTTTAATATATTTTTATATATTATTTTACATTATTATTTATTTTATACCGTATTATATTTTGTTTTAATTTATTATTATATTTTATTTTAATTTATTGTTATATTTTATTTTATATTATAATTATATTTTATTTTCATTTATTATTTTGTTTTATTTTAATTTATTATTATATTTTATTTTAATTTGTTATCCTATTTTATTTTAATTTATTATTATATTATGTTTTATTTAAATTTATTATTATATTATTT